GGAGGGTGGCTTTGTTCTTGAGGGAAGATGGGAGAGGTTTTAGCACAGTTATGAGACACGGATGAAAGGGGAGAGCAAAACCCTTTCTACTTTTGTGTACTCATTTCGGCTTCGGTATATTGCTTTTTCGAAAAGTTATTTAAATTTTTGTGCTTAATTTCTTTTACACTTTTTTCTTTATAATAGCTACCGGTTTCCACATACGTGCTTAGTGGCAATAAATTTCTAATCATGGGTAATTTATAGGGAAATTACCAGCTATGTCCATTTATAAGTAGCTCATTATAAAAATTGGCCAATTGATAAAATATTACTAATATTGGCCAAATTAGCCAATTAGCTATTTGTAGCAAAAAATATCAAATTTTTGCTTTGTTTTGAGTGGGTGTTATTAGAATAGATTGGGCACAACTTAAGGAGCTTGAATCTCAGTTTTGGGATGATTTCGTGAAGTTTTGAGGTGGTTTGAATTGAAAATTCGAAGTAAAAGCTGAACATGAAAAAAAATGATATGTGTATCACACTGTGTATCATTTGTGTATCCCATATGTATCATATTTGTATCAATTGTTATCACATTTATATCCATGTATACCTGTGTGTTTGATACATGTGTGATACATGTTTGATACATGTGTCGCAGAAAACTTTTTTGAACTCGATTTAATTACGAATTTTGATACAAAACCAGTCCAAATCACCTCCAATCTTCCTCAAATTTTGTATATCGACTTATCTATATATTTTCAATGAATTTCAACTATACCCATTGAAAAAGTTCCTTTTTTGTTTAGATTTTTGGAATATTGTATAGATTTTTGTATTTCATCACCTTATTTGCTACCCCGCCCATGAAATTTCCTTTCCGTCTTGTATCTAATGTTGCTAATCATGCTTAAAAATATGGAAGGTGATTTTTGCATGTGATTCTTTGAGATAAAGAACCCTATTATTTGGTTTTTTAATTTTTGTTGGCTAGTTTTGGTAAATCTATGACTAATGGCTAGAGGTTGGTAAGTTGAGATTTATTTGGGACATTTGTGTAAGTTTCCCTAATTTATAGCCTATTTGGTCAAGCTTCTTTTTGGCCAAAAGTGCTTTTTTTGGGCCAAAAGCACTTTTGGCCAAAAATTCAGGTGTTTGCCAAGCTTTTGGAAGTAAAAAAAAAGTGCTTTTGAGGAGAAGCAGAAGTAGTTTTGGAGAAGCAGAAAAAGTAGCTTCTCTCCAAAAGCACTTTTTTGAGAAACACTTTTGAGAAAAATACACTTAGAAGCAGTTTTTTAAAGCTTGGCCAAACACTAATTGCTGCTCAGAAGTGCTTTTCAAACTAATTAGCCAAAAACAAACTACTTCTCACTAAAAGTACTTTTGAGAAAAGCACTTTTGAAAAAAAGCACTTCTCAAAATAAGCTGATTTTTGCAGCTTAGCCAAACGGGCTATTAGTCATTTGATCTATCAAGAAATACGTGGCTTCTGTTCCTACAACCACCGCATGATTGTGTAGCTCTTCCTCTTCTTTCGGTCCTTTTCCCATGAGTTCTCTTCAGTCTTCTCAAAGGTACTTTACCCAATTTTTGGCATGAAGGAGAAGTGTATAGGGCATAAAGGAGAAACAACTTGGAGCTCTTCATCACAAACAAAGGTAAATTTTCTCTATCTCATTGTTTCCTTCACGTTCTCCGTCTCTTCTTCCTTTCTTCATCTCAAGTTTTGTCCTTCTCTCTGTTTAATTCTGATAGTAGAATGCATGTATCTCTGTTGATTCAACAGATTTAACGTGGTCGGAATCTCTTGGTTGATTGTGTTAACTCCAATTTTATCAGAAAATTTCAAATATCCAAATTCTAATTTTTCTATATAATAGAAAGGCGACCAGTTTCGACATGCGTGCTTAGTGGTAATAAATTTCAAATCATGGGTAATTTAGTGATTTGATCTATCAGGAGATACGTGGCTTCTGTTTCTACAGCCACCGCTTGATTGTGTAGATCTTCATCTTCTTTCGATCCTTTTCCCATGAGTTCTCTCCAGTCTTCTCAAAGGTACCTTTCCCAATTTATTGTTAGCTCATCTTCCAAATCTTGTTCTTTCCCTCTTGATTTGTATGTATGATGATTTTTGGCATGAAGGAGAAGTGTATAGGGCACAAAGTAGAGACAATTTGGAGCTCTTCATTAGAAATAAAGGTAAATTTTCTATATCTCTTTTTTTCCTTCATATTCTGTGTCTTTTTTTCCTCTTTTGTTCACCTCAAGTGTTGCCCTTCTCTCTATTTAATTCTGAGCGTCGAATGCGTATCTCTGTTGATTCAGCACATTTAACGTGGTCGGAATCTCTTGGTTGACTATGTTACTCCAATTTTATCAGAACATTCCAAATATTCAAATTTTAATTTTTATATATAATATAAGAGCTACCAGTTTTGACATTCGTCCTTAGTAGCAATAAATTTTAAATCATGGGTAATTTAGTCATTTGATCTATTAGGAGATACGTGGCATCTGTTCCTACAGCCACCGCTTGATTGTGTACATCTTCCTCTTCCTTATATCCTTTTCCCATGAGTTCTCTCCAGTCTTCTCAAAGGTACTTTTCCTAGTACGCCGTTATTTCCTCTTCCAAATATTATTATTTTCCTCTTGATTTGTATGTATGATGATTTTTGGCATGAAGCAGAAGTGTATAGGGCATAAAGGAGAGACAACTTGGAGCTCTTCATCAGAAACAAAGGTAAATTTTCTATATCTCTTTTTTTCCTTCATATTCTGCGTCTCTTCTTCCTTTTTTTCACCTCAAGTGTTGCCCTTCTTTCTATTTAATTCTGAGCGTGGAATGCTATGTATCTGTGTTGATTCAGCACATTTAACGTGGTTGAAATTGGTTGACTGTGTTACTCCAACTTTATCAGAACATTCCAAATATCCAAATTCTAATTTTTTTTATATAATATAAGATTACCAGTTTTGACATTCGTGCTTAGTGGAAATAAATTTCAAATCATGGGTAATTTAGTCATTTGATCTATCGGAGATAGTGGCTTCTGTTCCTACGGTCACCGCTTGATTGTGTACATATTCCTCTTCCTTTTATCCTTTTCATGAGTTCTCTCCAGTCTTCTCAAAGGTACCTTTCCTAGTACGTTGTTAACTCCTCTTCCAAATATTATTATTTTCCTCTTGATTTGTATGTATGATAATTTTTGGCATGAAGGAGAAGTGTATAGGGCACAAAGGAGAGACAACTTGAAGATCTTCATCAGAAACAAAGGTAAATTTTCTCTATCTCTTTGTTTCCTTCATGTTTTGCGTCTCTTCTTCCTTTTACTTTTCTATCTCAAGTAGTTGTCCTCCTTTTCTTGTTTAATTTACTTGATCGTGTAAAGTAGTNGAGACAACTTGAAGATCTTCATCAGAAACAAAGGTAAATTTTCTCTATCTCTTTGTTTCCTTCATGTTTTGCGTCTCTTCTTCCTTTTATTTCATCTCAAGTGTTGCCCTTCTTTCTGTTTAATTCTGATCGTGAAATGTAGGTATCTCTTTTGATTCAGCAGATTTAACGTGGTCGTAATCTCTTGGTTGACTGTGTTACTTCAATTTCATCAGAAAATCCAATTATCTAAATTCTAATTTTTTTTATATAATAGAAGAGCTACCAGTTTTGATATGCGTGTTTAGTGGCAATAAATTTCAAATCATAGGTAATTTAGTCATTTGATCTATCAGGAGATACGTGGCTTCGGTTCCTATAGCCACCGCTTGATTGAGTAGCTCTTCCTTTTCTTTCGATCCTTTTCCCATGAGTTCCCTAGTCCTCTCAAACGTACTTTTCCCTCTTGATTTGTATGTACGATGATTTTTGGCATGAAGGAGAAGTGTATAGGGCACAAAGGAGAGACAACTTGGAGATCTTCATCAGAAACAAAGGTAAATTTTCTCTATCTCTTTGTTTCCTTCATGTTCTGCGTCTCTTCTTCCTTTTATTTCATCTCAAGTGTTGCCCTTCTTTCTGTTTAATTCTGATCGTGGAATGTATATATCTCTTTTGATTAAGCAGATTTAACGTGGTTGGAATCTCTTGGTTGACTGTGTTACTCCAATTTCATCAGAAAATTCCAATTATCCAAATTCTAATTTTTCTATATAATAGAAGAGCTACCAGATTTGATATGCATGCTTAGTGGAAATAAATTTCAAATCATGGGTAATTTAGTCATTTGATCTATTAGGAGATACGTAGCTTTGGTTCCTACAACAACCACTGCTTGATTGTGTAGCTCTTCCTCTTCTTTCGATCCTTTTCTCATGAGTTCTCTCTAGTCTTCTTAAAGGTACTTTTCACAATTCACTGTTAGCTCCTCT